GTCGGTGTTCTCCTGCACGCAAAAAAACAAAACCGGGAACTGTAAATTTTCAAGATGTGCTAAAAGTTAATGACAACCTGCTCAATTGCAGTATGAGATACACTATTTCTCATGCATTCATACTGACGCAGATGCGCTATTGATGCATTAACACTGCCAGCTTCCTTCTCAGTCATAATACATTTACCGTGATATACGGTGCATCAACACTGCCAGCTTCATGCACTAATTTCGAGAAAAATTTCAACTCTCCTCCCCTCATTTCTTTCTGCATCTGCACAATGACCGTTTACACGTATCTGTTACCACTACACCTTGTTCATTTATAAAATGTGACCAAATTATCCAGACGCGCTTCATTTGACATAATGATGCCTATATCACAATGCAAGGGATATGTGCCAGAAAACTGCATCATCAAAAACAACTGCGATGTTTGAGTATATAAGCCGATGGTCGAGTTTCATTGTCATTGTCATGGAAACGCAACAAACTACCGTAATCGCGTCGTCTTACTGGCAAAACCTTAGATACAGTAAAAATATTACCTTTGACCACGACTATCCATAGCCACAAGACGGTTGGCAATGTTCATCGATTCCATAGCCAAAGTTGTCTTCCACTGATTTTCATATATATCACGAATCATTTGGTAGTACATTTCAAGTACCTCAGACTGATCTGCAATACCAGCAATGCTTTCGGTGGATGTTCTAAGATGTTTTCAAAAAGCCGCAAGACCAAAGAATGCTACAGAAGTTCATGGCCTGCGATGCTGAATCGGTGGCGATACCACTACATGTCACCGACATGTTCCAAAAATCTGCAACGTTTTTTTACTGTACACACAAGAACTTACACTGCGTAGCAGTTCCAGTCTCATTTTCGACTTTGGGAACTTCTTTCAAATCAACGGTGTACACACCTCGGATCGCATCTCCTTTTATTGTTATGCCGCAGGCTACTCCTTTGACAAGATCCTGCAAGTTTTTGGCTTTTAATCACTAGATGTTTCTACCAAAAAATCAACTGTATACACACAAATATTAGTTAGCGGATATGCGCCGACCTTCACGACAAGTACCGGCAAGCATAGCGCAGTAGCAAGTGCGCTACTCTGGCGCTGAATGTCCTGGCTTGATTCCAGCAGCGGAAAACGAGTCCTAAGTTTCGTTCGTTCATTTCAATGATAAATTGGAAGTGGTGCATGAGAGAATCAAAATTGCTCCCAGCTTACTTCGCAGCAATCATCGAAAGAAAAAGCCACTGACCGCTTGCCAGCGAGTAGCTGCTTTTACCACGTGCTAACACTATGGCTACTTCCGACTGCCTTCGCCTCTCATAGAGAGTGAGTGATAAAAGTTTCTGAGTAGCCACAAATGCTAATAACACTGACTATGATAATGAGAAGAAAATAACCTCAACTTGCAAAGTGCTGGTGGGTACAGCTGCTCGGCAATGAATTAATGCAACTGGCAAGTCTCGAATCGGGTCCGACTGCAAGAGTAAAAAGCAAAATGTCAACAGAGTGATTTTACTGAAGGTGATGCTGGCTTTTGCTAGCCGCAAAATCGTGTTACGGAAAAGAAATCGTTGAGAACTGCAATATTTAAGAGGCTTGAAATTTCAGGTGCCTAATTTCCAAGCAGATCGTTGTACAGCGGAGTAAATAGGAAACCCAGGCTGGGACGCACCAGGCAGGCCGGTGCGATCATGCGTTTTTGCACTTTTCGTGTCGTAGCAAAATCTCAAGGAATCGCAGTAGCTAGCCCTGTGATATGCTGGCCCTCAAAGTTCGGGAAGTTAATTGTGCAGCTATGTGGCATATCACTTGTTGATGTCGACTTCAGTGACCCGACAAACAGAAAGTTGTTAGTCCAAAGGCCCTCCTAGAAGAGTTAAATCTGAAATCTTTTAGTTGCACATGAACAAGGAACACTCCCTTAAAATTAAAGCCTTCCAGCTTTTCTCTTTCCCGAGTTGGCAGTTTTTCCGTAAAAATTTTCATGCGCTCGTACGTTAGTCTCGGGTAGTTCTAATGAGCTGAATTTGAAATTTTTTGGTCGTACATGAATGGGGAGCAGACCTCCACATTTTCAACTTTTTAACTTTCCTCGCTCCCGGGTTAGTGATTTTTCTGCTAAAATCTCCACTTGCCCGTACGTCGGTTCCGGGCGCCTTTGAACAGCTGATTTTGGCCACACATGAATAGGGAACATTCCCCTAAAGTTTCAGCCTTCCAGCTTTTCTCGTTCCCGGGTTAATGATTTTCCTGCCAAAATTTTCACGTGCCCGTACGTGAGCCGGACGCTTCTAAACGCCTGATTTTGGTTGTAAATGAGTAGGGAACATTACCCTAAGGCTTCAACTTTCTAGCTCTTCTCGTTCACGAGTTATCAGTTTTCCTGCTAAAACTTTCACGTGCTCGTACGCGAAGCCCAGACGTGCGTGAGGGTTGATACCACGGTCCTGGGGTGGCACTTGGCTGGGAACATCCAGCAAAATTTCAGCTTCAGAGCTTGCGTGGTTGGCCAGTTGAAATACCCGAACACACACACACACACACACTGACAAGGTCGTTGCAATATGTGTTTTTGCTGCCCGTTGCCCCGCTCTAGCGCTGCACGGCAAAAACGCATAACTAGTGTGTGATATCTTTAAAAGATATTTTTAAAAGAGTGTGTGATATCTTTAAAAGATATCTAAAAAAATACAAATCAATACTTCCCAGCTAAGTTTCGAGGCAGATTCATTATTTTTCAGAACTTCAAATTTCCTAAACCCATTCATAAAAAAATCTGCCCTTCTGTAAGCAGTTATCAGTCACTACAACAGCCTACAAATGAGTCTCATCCAAACAAGTGGTTGCAGTGGCATACCAGCGAACGGTTTTTGACTAAATTCGGGCTTCAGCTGAAATGTTGTCTTCGACATCCCACATCTATCATCCTATGCATGCATGTTGATGCCCTACACCCAGTGCTCTCAATGGCAAAATTCAATGCAGTTGGATATCTATAACCTAATTTTTTGCGCTTTTCTGTCTGTTTTT